GGACCCATCAATTGGCATGGTGTATGTGTGCTTTCAGATGTTCTAAGTTTTAGTGCTAAGTATCCAGTGTTGTGCAGTCTGTGAGTAAAAAGGATTCTCTCCCTGCCTCAAAAAAAGCCATTCATATCACAACTACTGATCTTATGAATACAGGGGCATCACACAGCAGCTTAATAAAAGCCATTATTTCTATCCATCATATGGTATTTGACAGGCCAATCTGTAGTAAGAGATATTTGAATTCTGTAAATGATATGCGTTTTGCTCCTCTGAGCTACAGACTCAGAAAAGCCAACATGTACTTCAAGTTTTTAAATGATGCCTTATCTTCACAACTGTTTGAGCAGTACTATTTAAGGTTACAATTCCTTTAAATTCATCATCCTATTCCACAGTTTCTCTCATATTGATGCAACCAGTTCCCTGAGCTGTTCTGAAGTTACAGAAGCATCTTGCTCACATGTCCTTTACATGCTCTTATACTATTCCTTTCACTTTAATCTCATACTTTGGCAGGGTTTCAATCCTTCCTCCTTAATCCACTGTTTGCTAGTATTATTTTGACCTTCTCGATCATTCAGTACTGTTAAGTATGTTGAACCCTTACTCTCTTCTAGTGTCAGGGCTCTACAATTATTTTCCTCTTGGAAATTATTTTACCTTCCCATCCTGGCCAGTCCTATGACTTGCCTTCAGTTTGTGGGTTTACCCATCTACTTAAGCACTTGGCTCTTCTAGAAAACTTTGCTTTTGTCATGTCTGGCTGCTTTACAGTATGTCATTACCCATGGAGAACAACATGGTTGATTCTTGTTTTCTTGGCTGCCCAAATGCCACTACACTAAGTCCCATGCTAGGGCTTTCCATGGCCTTGTACTGCCTCTCCCAGAAGAGCTCTGATAAGAGATGTTTCCCTACTTTGAATGTGCCCAGTATGAATACCAACTCTGCAGGAGTGCTGTGCAAGTAAGTTTAAACCTATCACATTTTAAAACAAAGCCAAGAAAACAAAACAACCAACCAAAAAAAACACACCAAAACCACACCCACATGGCAACTCTTGACCACTTCTAAAAATCACTCAGATCCACTTTTGCTGTGAGCAATACCTGCCACCAGAAAGTCCTTCTGAGAAGTAAGATGAGCAGTGTAAAGGGTATTTTCTAAAGACACTAATATATAGGGAGGAGGGTTCTGCAGAGGTGAAGGATAACTTAGAGCAGTTACATCCTGTGTATACAGCTACACTGTCTGAGGAAGACATACGAATCAGGCTCTCCCACACTTCACCAGGTGCTGTACAAAGTGCTAGCAATGACCCACTCCCAATCGAAGTGGAGTGCAAGGGATAAAGCAGCAGCACAGGGATGTCTAGGTCTTTGTAGCTCTGTACCTGCCAGGACTAAGCCCGACTTAGATAAAATAAGGGGTAAGCACTGAAGTGACTCACTTGATCCCCGTAAGCGTGACGGCCAATGACAATGGGTTTCACCCATCCAGACACCAGCCGGGGAATGTTCTTGCAGATAATAGCCTCCCTGAAGACAGTGCCACCTAGGATGTTTCTAATTGTCCCATTGGGAGACTTCCACATCTGCTTCAAATTGAACTCCTCCACTCTCTTCTCATCAGGAGTGATGGTTGCACACTTTATGCCAACGTTGTATTTCTTTATGGCTTCAGCAGCTTCCACAGTTACTTTATCATTTGTAGCATCACGATGCTCAATGCCCAAATCATAGCTGTAATAAACCCACACAGATGGTCAGAACTGCCCAGGACATTTGTCTGTATCCAACAGGAAAGAAACCAGACTCTGAATGTGCCTCTGAGTGTAGTTCCAGCACTGCCATAACTGAAGTTACCCCTCTTCCAGTGCAAATGCTACTGGACTGGAAGAAAACATAGGGCTCATATACTGATACTTCTGCAGATGGTTGGAGACTGGAGAAAGAACAGCTTCATTTTATGGCTGAAGCTCTTTGCCAGCATGGGACACAGCCAGTACCTCCTCTGCCTTTCCTCCTAAGCTTCCTGCAATGAAAGCTTTTGGTCTGGGATTCTAATTGTATGGAGCAGCACAGTTTTCAGATGAATATAGGCCTTTATTTCAAGCCTCTTGTGCTGAAGGTTCTGACTTTCTTCGTGTATTGAAGCTACGTTAGGCTTAAAAACTGCTTTGACAATGGACCCACAATCCTGCTCTGGCAGCAAAACTGCCAATATTCCCCTCAAACAGTCAAGAGGAAGCACATTTCCCACATTTACTGTTTTAATAGTTTTGGAGAACAATGGCTGCCCAGTGTGAGATAGCCCTGAAGTACAGCCAACTGTACATGAATTTAGCTATTGTGCTGCCCCAGCCAGGGGTCCGCTTTCCCTCCTCCCACCCCTCTTTGAAAAGGGATGTTCTCCAGACTCCATGCATGTATTATGCTGCTGGGTTCCTGTTTGCTTGGTTCTCAACACCAGCAAGCAACAAGCCTGATGTAGGTGGCATACAAATGACTCCAGGAGCAGGGGAAGAGGTCAGACTTGTGGGTTTAATAACAGCAGATACCACTGAAGGACTCTGTCTACTTGGCTAGGAGCAATGCAACTGGATACTTCTGTAATAATTATAGGTCAGTGGCTAGCAACGGAAGAGATTATTTGCTCTGTTTGACCAGATGCTGTAGATAGCATGTCCCTTTTGCCATACCAGCTGTTAATATTGGTTTTGTTTGGGTTCTTTTTTTCCCCCAGAAGGGAGTATAGGAACACAGCCTAGGCTCAGGGAATAATGAGCTTATAATTAGCACTTAGCTTACACCATCAGCAGCAAAGCTCAAGCTTACAGGCATGAGGGCAGAGTCTGTGCCCTATTGCCACCCTTTTGCCCTCTGGGCAGATCTTCAAATAGATATGGCAAGAAACCATAAATCTACTCTGAGTCCACAGATGCCAGGCTTCAAGTCAGGGAGTGGCTAAAACTCCCATGTTTCTAATTGTTTAGGCTGCAGAAAGCCATGCAGACTTCTCAGGTGCTGGAAAGATAAGATAGATAAAAATGCAGACCACGTCTGTGAGAGACCTTCTTAGACACACAGTACAGAAAAAAAGCTAACTCACAATTAAACATTTGCTGTTTACTCGTGTGAGGAACTCCAGAGGGGCTGTCAGACTTGTACAAAATACCTTCATCACGAGCCCATGCTTTCCAGGTACTTACTGAGTACAGAGTACAAGTACTGAGTTCCAGAGTACTTGGCCCTTTGGTAACTTAACCAGAGGACTATGCTGGGAACTTCACCAGTATCAAAAGGGCTACTTAGTCTCTCCAAACTAATGCAGGAGGAGATAAGGCTCTCAGTGCTAAGTGAAACGATCAATGCCTAATGACACATGTAAATTGCAGTACAAAGTAGCTGTGTGTCATAAAAAGCCATTACCTGTGCAAATCCAGATCTACATAAGGAAAAATCAGCTTTTCTTTAATCAGTTCCCAGATGACCCGTGTCATTTCATCTCCTTGCATCTCCACAACAGAGCCTCCATGGATTTTTTTAGACATCTTGAGCTGTAATAGGCAAAGAAAACCAACTTAAGCAAAGAACTGACAGCACTCACGACCAATGCACATATCCTGCATTTTCACAACTCAGTTAGGAGAGGTACCAACATAGCATACAGGATCTCTCCTATAAGCCTTGAAAATAACTACAGTTTATCCCTAGTTTCATGCTAACTGGTATTTTGCTGAAGGCCCCAGCTTCTAGGGAGCTCTATCTGAAGGTAAAAATAAAGATTAATATCTGAAATTTAAGGGTGTGTTCAAAGGGCATAAGCTTTAATTATGGTTGTACAAAACAACTTGAAAGCATGACTAAACTCTTGCCCCAAATTCCACAGAATTAACAAGCACCGTTTATGCTTAGAGTTCATGAGTTCTAGTTCAGTTGCCTGTTTCTGCCTTTTTTTCTGAAAAAGATGGGTTAATGGACATTATTTTAATGAAGGCTCATATTGCTGGCACTATTCAGACTAATACATTGTCAGCTTCTTCATTAGCTTCCTTCCCCAGGAAATCCAAGGGCCACATATCAAGAGTACTTTCTAATAGCAAAGCTTTATTTCTGCTGTTAAAATAAATACTGGACAGATTTGTTTTCTGTATGGAACAGAGGTTTCCCCAAGATATTTGCTCACAAAGTCTTAAAAAACAAACCTGAACTCTGCCCTTGTATTTGCACTTTGTTCCTTGACAAAATCCAGCTCCACAAGCCGCTGAACTGCTCTAACACAGTGCCCCGCTTTCTAACAGCCACAGTTCCTCACTTCTCAGCTCTGATTATGCAAGACCTATGACTTGGCAAGTTCCTCCTCCAAGACAGTCCCATTCTTGTATGCAGCCGTTAGGATACTACTGTGAAATACCAAACCTTTCTGCCTGAGGTTGCAGCCTCACAGATACCAAAGTCCATGTATGGCTTTAGCCAGAATCAGAGGTCCTACTGTAGAGAGTCTATTCATCGAGATGAAGTTATTCAGAGGTGTGAGGTTTGCAATGCAAAGCCCCCAGGTCACCAGCATGTGTGGAGGTTGCTCCTGGTTCATTAAAAAAAAAAAAAAACAAAAACAAACCAAAAAAACCAACCAGCTTGACTTGAGCTCTGCTTCCAAAATCCAACCCATTAAAAATTTTTTAGTCTTTCAAAGCTATGTTCTAGCTATTGCATCAAGCTTTTCCAAACCATTTAAAGTGCAAAATTAAAACCAAACCAAAAAAAAGGCAAAATGAGATTGTGAGCTACTGAGACTCTATTTACTATGAGCACATAAATTTGAAAAAATATTTAAGACATTCCTATGCCACAGAAAGAGAGTATCTTGGCTTATGTTAGACTTCTCTAGTCCTCATGGAAAAATTTAATTTAACATGACCATACTCTGCCTGAACTCAGTTTATTTATGCAAGTATTTTGGGCCCAGTTTTCAGTTATGACTACCTAAATAAGAACTGTATCACATTCCATAGCCTAAGCACAGGGTTACTACTCAGGAGACTTCAGGTTTGCTTTTGTCACTTACACTGTCTGAGAAACAAGTAATTCATTTAAGCCAACCTGTACACAGACACCCACCCACTATTGCTTGTTTTGTGGTTTGGTCCCTACTTAAACAAGTAAAATCAGACTGTGTCAGTCATGGCAATAGGCTTTGAAAAGCTGGCTTCAGACCTACACACTGCTGCTATCACAACGAAAACAGAGGTACATGAGACACACCTCCACTGGGATATATCTCCACCAATATGTGGAAACAGCAGCTTCTTAAACAACTCTGACACCATCCTACATGTTTATCCAACCAAGGCCCCAGTACTTTCCCCTTTAAACACTGATATTCCCAGTTTCTTTATGTACAAGAGCAGTACTGCAGCAGCATCCCTCTTCTGCACAGAGCCAGCACGCCAAGAGGTTCCTCTAAAGAGCACACATTCCCTGGAGTTCAACTCTTTCTGTTGCTCTTCCCCTCCGATTTTGTACTCTCCAGAACTGCCAAATGTCAGCAAGGTCTTTTTTCCGTACAGCAACCCTTCTTCGAGTACACTTAACCCAGGCCTTTAGCCAAAGCAGCTTAGAAGAATACTCATGAATTTCCAAATACTCCTGGGTCCTCGGGAAGGACTCGGGGCCTAGTCAATAATTAACTCTTGCAACAACTCTTTAGTTCAGGTTTGCTAACGATCCCTTCAGATCCGGCATACTCCCAGGGAGCAGTGTAGACCGTTGTCGCTCACCGGGATCTTGCCTGCGTTAGTTCTGCGGCTGCACTGCCCTCCATCCACCGCGGGCAGGCCGGCTCGTTCTTCGGACGGGCGCGCGGCCGGCATCTTGTGTTACAACCGACACCGAAACCCAGGCACCAGCACCACCCGAACAAGGTGCTGCCGGGCCCGGCCAACGCGGCGGTGACCGGTGACGCTCCCCTGGGATACGCGCAGAGCGCTAAGCGCAACCGGCAGTAGGTGACACTACCGACCATTAAGA